AAATGTATATGTGCTTAACTGAACAGGCTATTAGAACCTATCAAACAGGTTATTAAAACCCATCAAAGTAAAAAAATATACTTAATTGTCCTTATAAATATATTTGTCCTTGTCGGGGTTAACCAGAGAAACAATGGTCTAAAAACAACTCTCTGGTTGATAGAACAATATCTATATATAGATAAAATAAAAATGAGCACAACTAATAAATCACAGCACCATCACGATGGTGATATCAATAACAAAAATAGGAATGATGATAATGAAAACTTGCTTACATTAACCGACAAGACCACCAAGACCATCACGCCATCCTCGTCAACTCTGAATGAGACTATAAATGACACAATAATAATAATAAGTGATATAATAACAATAATAAGTGACACAATAACGATGTTAAATGACACAATAACGATGCTAAATGTTAGAATAAAACTAAATAACACGAAGCTAAAAGAGTTAAATGATGAAATAAAAAAAAATGAGGATATATGTAACGAGAATAATATTATGAAAGAAACGCAAAAAAGAAATGAAGAAATGTGCAAAAATACTGAAGAAAAAATATGCAGCAAAAGTGCTAATATTGTCAATCCATATGAAATGATGAGGATGACATGTATAATATGTTAACATGATCGTACCAAGAAAGAGATATACAATTAAAAAAAAGAAGATTTATTCTTATAAACGGTGAGTATAAATAAATAATAATAACAATATCGTTACATCTTTCACCTATTATGTGGGAGGAAAATATAATTAAATAAATCTAAAAATATAAATTTAAACGAATACTGGAGCTAAGAGCATATATTTCTCTTCTTCCCAAAGAGCCACCTTACCATGAGATTAAGAAAGGCCTCACTACAAATTTCAAACTACAAACTACAAAAAAGGAAGAGAAAGCCAAGATTGGAGGAGATGACGAGAAACAAGAGGAAAATAAGCCATCTACGATACTCAATCAAGAAAAAAAAGCATGGCGATTTCCAAGTCTTGAAAAAGGACGATGACGATGAAGATGAATTTATTAATGAAAAGGACGACGATGATGATGAAGATGAATTTAATAATGATACCCCAAAAACAGATACGTTACAGCAAGAACAACAACAAGAGCAACAAGAATATCAACAACAGGATCAACAAGAACTACAGGATCAGCAAGAATATAAAGAAGAACAAGAACATAAAGAAGAACAGGAATATCAACAACAGGATCAACAACAACAACCAGAACAAATCTATGATATGAGATCCAGATCTCAAGATTTAGTTTGGACAGACCACGAATATACCATGTTACAATTGCAACAGCAGCCGCAACAACAGCAACAGATTACAGATCAGTTATCGTCAAAACGACAGGATTTTAATACAATTCAAAACGATAACGAGATTATTCAACAACAACACTATAGTGAACTCCCAATCTTGGAAAATATAGACCGTCACCTAACATTGCCACCACCACAACAACAACAACATGGATCTCAAATCACCACTGAAGGAGAAGCTGTTTTACAGCTGCAACAACAGCAACAACAAGAAGATTATCATAACTATGATAATCATCAACAGCAATATTACCCAGACGCATTAGCGTTAGAAGTGTCAGAAGTTGAAAACAATTTGAATAAGAATATATGTGAACGAACATTTTTTGAAAAAAGTGTATTATCTAAAATTCAAGAAGACTTGGATAAGATACTAAGAGACACGAGAGATGAACACAGTATCTTTATTTCATTTAGAGATGTTGTGTCCTATGATAATAACAAATTGGTATCAACAGTGTATGTATATTCTACTTCTTCTAATATGTATCAAGTACAGAATATAGAGCCAAATATAGATACATTTATATATAGACAACCATGGACTGTAAAGAAATGATGGTCGAAATTTTAGATATTATGAACAATATGATGAGTCTTAGGGAATATGGTCCTTCGCAGAGGATTGTTGTAAATTTTAAAAGAGATATAGATCGTCTATTTTCTTATAGAATAAGAATAGAATTAGACCCTGATCAAACACAACATGAAACCCACAAGTATAAAATACTTTATAGATATTTATAATCAATTATAAGTATCAAGCTAAAGTTTATAACAAGTATAAACAAATAATAATTGTAAATGAAATTGAATGTAAATAAATAATAACCATACATTTTTTTATACTGTTAAGAAAAAATCATAAGATATATATGTTAAAAAATTAAAGAGATTACAATTGAATAGCTTCTTTTTCCCATCCCTTTGGAATGAGGAAAGAAACTTATAATTTTGAAATAAGGGGTAATGCTTCCTCACCAATTCTAGAAAGACAAACACAAACAACAAATGATGTATCACAACGATATAGCAAATTGCAAGTTCCCAAAGTTTTTATTAAAAAAAAACGAAACAGACAACACGTACTATCGCCAAAACGAAACAATGTTTCTTCTATGAGGAAAATAGACGTGAAAAAAAATCACAAACCCAACTAACGGATAACATATCACAACAACAGCAACACGGACCATCGTCCGCCCAAACAACAGGCGGATCCAAGGTTTTATCAGAGCATGGGACCGAGAACTCGATCCATCATCCTCCATGTCGGCAACGGCAGCAGCAGGAAGAGGTCAATTGCAACTACCATATGATTCCTCACCAAGTTTATTGAAACAATACAATCAAACGGTACATGAATTAGAGATGAAAAACCGGACTATTAGCAATATAATATGCAACAAATCAAATTCCGAAAAAAACATATGCCTCTATTTATATGAGCAATTTCAAATTATATTAAATGATGAGAATATGGAATATCACCAAGTTTTAATAAAGTTTATAGATCTTGAAAATAATGAAGTTATAGTAGATTTCAATAGAATTGAAAAAACTATCACCAATAGACACCTATACTTAGAGAATGACAAGTTACCAAATTCGAAAGTATGTATTACTTGTATTATTTATCAACTAGTATAAAACAAATGATGTTAGACATATTAGGAGAAATAGATATGGTGAAAGAAATTAGAAAAAAAGGACCACCGCTTGAATATTGTATTGAATTTAGGAAAAATGAAAATCACCTTTCTTATCGTACCAGATAGAAATAGAAAAAAAACACAAATCAAAACTGCGAATTGTACAAGTACCCTATAAAATATTAATGTTCAAACAAAGACACCCATTGAAATTGTATAAAAATAAAGGGGAGAAAATAAACATGATATACTTTAAAATAGATTGATTTAATAACACATGTATATATATATGTATATATATATTATTAACTAGAATATTGACACTTATCTAGTCAGTGATATTGTAAATATATACAATATTTATGTTTTCTTGTTTATCCTACATGTTGTAAAACAAAATGGTGTTAGTAGGATTATTAACAGGTCTCCGAGGACTCGTAAAAACTAATCACAATGCAGCGGATATTTATAGTGCCGTTTTCAAACTACATTATCGCTTTACGGCAATGATGCTCTTTAGTTTTTGTCTTTTAGTTAGCGCCAATAGTCTAGTCGGAGATCCCATCACATATATATATATATATATATATATATATATATATATATATATATATATATATATATATATATATATATATATATATATATATATATATATATATATATATATATATATATATATATATATATATATATATATATATATATATATATATATATATATATATATATATATATATATATCTTTGTTTTACTTTCTCCCGATAGTTGCATGCATGATAACAACTCGAAACTAAAAGATAAGGTCGTAAACACATATTGTTGGATCCATACGACATTTACGTTACCAAGGCATATTGATAAAGACTACGGAAGAGGTAAGATTACTCACATAATTGATAATATTCATACTATAATATATTGCATTGTATATATAATATACTGTATAATGTTAAAAGATTCAAGTTTATAAAAAGATTCAAGTTTCTTTTCTCTTCCTTTATGAAATTAAGGGACAGGTTTGGCATACCCTGGCGTTGGCCCTAGTTTACCAGATGACACGAAAACGCACCATGCCTACTATCAATGGGTACCGTTTGTACTCTTCTTACAGGTATGTATAACATAAATGGATAAATACATACACATATACAGAGAGAGAGAGATATATATATAATATATAAATATGACATACTTAAATATCTCTTTTTTTTTTTCCTTGTAGGGTTTGATGTTCTACGCACCTCATTGGCTTTGGAAAACATGGGAAAATGGCAAGCTGGAATCTATTATTATGGGTCTAGCCACCCCCATCATGAATAAAGAGGAACGCCGCGATAAGATTCAACTGCTGGTCGACTATCTATGCAATTCTCTTCATCACCACAACTTTTATGCCATCAAGTTTTTTTTCTGCGAGTTGCTCAATATAATAAATTGTTTGTTCAATATGTGGTTTATGAATAGATTTTTAGGTGGGATGTTTCTCACGTATGGGACGGACGTACTGAGCTTCACGGAGACCAATCAAGAAGAACGAACAGACCCGATGATTGTGATATTTCCGCGAGTCACCAAGTGTTCCTTTCATACATATGGGCCTTCGGGTACAGTTGAGATCCACGATCTCATGTGTGTGCTCGCCCTAAATATCATTAACGAAAAGATTTATGTTATAATGTGGTTTTGGTTTATTGTATTGACTCATTAGTAACGGCGTTTATCTATCGTCTGTTGATGTTTTACGTTCCCGTCATCAGGTCGACATTGCTATTCCAAAAGCCTGCGAGTATGCTGCACTACAAGAAAGTCTTGGACCAAAACGTCTCGAAAAAGTTACAGATTGGCGATCTTTTCTTAATATACCTCTTGAGTAAAAATATGGAGATGCTCTCCTTTGACTCTCTCCTGGAGGAATTGTTTCTCCGATTGAATGATCAACACATCTACCTTCCCGACCATGATCAGTCAAATACTTACAAAGAGAGAGATGTATTTGAAATGATTAACAGTAAAAATGACAGTAAAGTAGATCTTCAAATAAATGCTTCACCTGTGTCTCAAAATAACTTATTGGATATGTCTAACAAAAATAAGTTTCTTTTCAATGAAAATAATCAGAATTAACAATACTTTTTGTCTGGTCAATAAAAAAAATATTTTGCCAAAAAATTTTTATTAAAAAAAATCATGATAACCTTATGGTTTATTCCTTACAAGTATTCGATAAGCAATATTATATCAAATACCCGATAAACAATATTATGTAATGTAATATGTTATATTTCCTTATTTATTACAGCTTTTTTTCTTCCTCTTGCTCTGTGCCTCCTGAAAAAAAAAAAATACAACGTTAGTTGAACGTCTATAATTACTGGATATGGACTCATAGCAAATTCTTCTCTTATCATATATTTGTAATAAGGCGATTGTACATGTTTACCATTTTCTATACTATAAGAAATTACCTTATTTGTAAGGATCATGAGAAGGCGCCAAAATACTCCAACAAAGTCAACGAATAGATTCAAACTGTGCATCACATAGTCCATATCTCCTCGGCGTGCTCTCTCAACAATGAACTGAGTGTCATAGACTATAAAGCCACACATGACTGCTAGACCAATGTACAAATTTGCCTAAAAAAAAATAAGACAGACATAAAAAGCATAGAAATAATAATTATCAGAATAATAAATACTCATTGATTTATAATAAAAAAAGACAATCTCCATTATTAGACTTACCTTAAAAAGGAGTTGAGAGCCAAAGAAGATATTATATATCGAAACCCAAATGAGGGTTAACAATACCGACATCAGTGTACCTCTAAGATAGAGGTAATGACCATCAGGAGCATAGAGAGCTGATAGGGAGAAGCAAGCAAATATCACACTTGCGCCGAGCAGAGCTTGCAAAACCTATAAAAAAAATATATATATATATATAAATAAATTAAAAGTCAGTCAATATAAATATAGTTAAACGTTCAAATATTAATGACATAACTATATGAATAAAATGACGATGTGTATCCTTAATAGATTCACTTACCAATGCAGGGTTGATAGTCACAGCCAGATTCAAAAATGGGCCAAGGTTACAGCCAGTCAAGAAGGCAAATACCAAGGAGAGAAAGTCTCTGCAGCTGGTTTTTGCCATCATAAGGTGTAAATACGAGTAATATTAATACCCAAATGGCACTCAGAAAAGTCATGAATCCAGAACTAATAAATGTGCTGAACATGTGGGCATAGCCACCAACAGAGGCTGCTATGGTAGCAAGGGTGAGAGTAGCATATACATTCTTCAAGTGTATCCTCACTGGAGTCTCATATTTATTTTTTAAATTCATATTCTTCAAATATATCCTGACTGGAATATCCCTGTAAAGATTAAGAAAAAATAAATAAATATACATATACATATATATATATATATATATATATATATATATATATATATATATATATATATATATATATATGATAAAAAAATGCTAGTCTACAAAATTAACCCTCTTTCATATAACACATAAAAATTTTCCATTATTTCATCACTATAACCATTACGGTATTAATATAAATGTCATATAAATTTTCTAACATTATTTATATGCAGGCAAGTATGGGTTGTCGTTATGAAGAGATTAACACAAGACCTTGATTAATACAAGAGACTTTGTATCTCTGTAGAAGAAACACGAGTATTAAACGGTAAAGAATATATCCACCCCGATATATATATATATATATATATATATATATATATATATATTTATAAAATGAATAGACAATTAAAGCAAAAATATCTTCTCGTCATTACCGGAATTAAACACAACAAAAAGCTGAGGAAACAAACGACCTCCTTAATACGGAAAACCGATACAGTGAGTGGAAAGAAAAAGATTCAAACATGTTAATAAATAGATAAAAGTAGATTTCTCTTAATATTAATGCATCTGTTTCTTTATTCCCATGGAATTATCGACAGCTATGTCGATATAGACTTCTGTTCGGATTACTAAAACGACGCGAGATTAAAGTAATAACATTTTCCGACGAGCGAAAATACTGGAAAGTGAAGAGGAGATGAGTCGGTTTTTGACCGAGTCAATAGCCGTAGATCGCATTTATTATTATGCTGCTAATGGGAGTATATCCGCACCCAATATTTGTTTTCTTTTAAGAACGCATTATAGAAGAAGACCGCTATATGTAGAGATAATGTATTTTGATAATAGGTTAATAAAAAGTAGCATTATCTTAACTTATGACACGCAGCGTTTTATGGATTCCATAATATCTTCTTACAATGAACGTGAAACAATATTTAAGAAAGTGTTCAACGACGACATTAACATACAAAGGTCTTGGAATAACGTTTCGTCGTTAGAACGTCTCTGTTGTTTAACCATGGGTAAATACTGGAATACCTTAACTTCAGTATTATCGGTACCTCGGTTAATTAGGAATAGTATAGATAACACTTTGCAAGCTCAAGATTGAAAATAGATATGAAAGGAAAATTTTCAAGAGAAACATGCAAGAAAAGTATGCAAAGCGACTTTGGTAAGTGAGTATTATTAACATATACACACTACACACACATGTATATATATATATATATATATATATATATATATATATATATATATATATATATATATATATATATATATATATATATATATATATATATGTATATATATATATATATATATATATATATATAGCTTAATAGGAAACATTGTTACTTAATAGGAAACAAAACTTAAACGAATCTCTAGAAAAATATTTACAAGAACTCAAAATAAATAAGAAAGGATCGTAACTTCAAGATGATATAGACTGTAGAAAAAATATCGTTAAGAATTCTTCCGTGATGCTTTCATCAACGGTGTCGCTTCACCCCCCTGATAAGGTAACATCTTTTTAGAGAATAAAAAATTCTTGATCTGGACGGTATTTATGAGCAAGCCCTTGTACTAGATGCAGCCCAACGTCATGTTAATGACTGTGTTTCAGAAATTAATAATACACCTCTTCAGCTTATTCAACCAGTCAATCATTTGTCGTACATGACAAGAATACAATCAGATAAATGTCATTGTTGTCTATCTAACTACAGACAAACAGATAGACTGACTATAAAGAAACTCCTCAGAAATCGACAAAAAATTAAAGGAAAAAAGATAATCTTGGAATTTTCTCTATTCGTGAGAGTTAACATAAACAATATACATAGATATATGTGTATAAGATGTAACTGATTGATGTAAAAGAACAGAACAAAACATAATGGAAAGGAAGGCGATTAAAGTTGGTCAGCAGACCGCAAACTTCGTTACGGAGTCGTAGCCGAGAGCTTCCAGGATTTCATAGAAAAAGGTGCGGCAAAACTGGGCATAAAAGATACAAGTTCTATAAAGGTAACATTGTTTGATGAAACCATCATTGACGAAGATTACTGGAAGACTCTACCAAACCATACCAGACTCTTCTTCATCTCAACACCACCTAAGACCATAATTATAGAGACTCTATCGCGTCCAACAAGATCGCTTTCGGCGAGATAGAAAGGAATCGTCAGAACAGTATATTGACAGTGGTCGTCAGCGCTTATACACACGGCCGTCAACTCAACTATACGAATACACCTTCCACCTTGATACAATCCTCAAAGACGAAAAGTCTGAAAATATTCATCTCGAAACTATTTATCGGGATATTTATAAATTGTAGAAGGATCGGGACTATGAAATAAATATAATTATAAGAAATCGATTCCAGTCTTTATATATAAAAAAAAATACGAATTAAGAATGAATAAAAACTTTACTATGGATAGTATTCTAACTTATATACATAAGTTACAGTCATTGATAGGTACATGTTATAAGGAATATACTAATATATGAAGAGTTTCACCATTGACGTGGACTATCTGGAAAATCTACATAATATTGAAATTGCGTGTCTTAAGTGCCATTATGATGATACCGAGTATGCTTATGTCGTGTTTAGTAAAGAAATGAAGAATTTCATAAATAAACAGCTTAAGATAATTAACTATTATATGTTTTTAAAGAATCGAGCGAAAAAATTACTGCTCATTATGATTATCTTTGTATTACTGATAAAATAAAAGTAAAAGAGATGATGATGTTGATAAAACTGAAGACAATAATATCCAAATACACCATATGCCCGATTGGAGACTAAAGCCTGTAGAGTG